CTTAGACCAGATAAATTTAAGAGTTTGATTGAGCAAAGAATGATTTGAGAATTGGGCACCCCACAGAACCAGAACAGGTTGTAGGAACTCCGGCCTGCTACGTGGTCGGGCAGCATTTATGGACAGTAAAAGGAAGTGAGGTACAGAGATAGTTTAATTGGTTACAGCTCAGCGTTTGTGTTTGCTGTATTTGAATCAGCTGGCTGCTTGCAATTGACTCAGATTCAGTTGCCTGTTACAACAACACACTCCTAGTTAGGCTTTCGCTTAGCTTACATACTAAGTTAGGTTGCAGTTAGTGAACATTTTCACTTCGTTAAGTGTGCTGTTTCCTTTGTTTTCCCTTGTCACATGGATTGTATTTTGTTTCCTTTCATCACCGCAGGCACTTTTTCTATTTTTTTAAAATCCAGTGATTTTCTTGGTGTTTTTCAAAAACATTCGTTATCCTGTATTGCTCTAGTTATTAAATGTTATTTTATTAGGTCTCCCCAGTGGAAGACAAGAAATCTAGCTTACACAAACTTCTTCCTGTATAAGATAATAATTTCACTTATCATCCTCACTTTCTAGTCTTTCTATAATTTGGAGTTTTAGACTAAGATTATTTATTGAGACATTACTTTTTTCAGACTCTTTCCTTTTCTAGAACAATCTTTGACACTTGTAGTCATTACATTTTGTAATCAAATCACAATACTATAGTTAATGGACTTTTAATTCTCATTGCATTAAACTTTTGCAGTTTCCTCAATCTTGAATATGTCTTGAATAATTTTTTAATAATAATACATGGGTGGTATATTTTGAACTCTTGAATATCTGAAAGTATCTTTGGAAAAATAAAAATAAATAAAAGACGAAACTTCTGTCCCTGGCTCCTGGGACTCAGCACATCCTTTACAGTAAGCTGAGTCCTGGCATAGGTCATGTGGTGTCAAGCACAGAGTGATTGAAGTCCCTTGCAGCTGTCATATGGATGGTTTTTATTGGGGTTATCACAAAATGTATCCTGACAGAACCGTACAGTTAGATCTCCAAATAGGAGAAGATAGTTAACCGCATTATTCCAAATAGTGATTCTGCGGATTCCGGGCACCCTACCCTGAGGTCCAGTGCCATGCTATATACACTGCCATTCCAGCTTGTGTCAGGGGTTCCCAAGGTCATCCCCTGATTCAGTGATTTGCTGAGGTACAGGGCTCAGCATGTAGGCAGACTCATGGCTGAGCTTTATAACAGCAAAAGATTACACAGCAAAATCAGCAAAAGGAAGAGGTGTGAGTACAGTCCAGGGGATAGCAGGTGCAAGCTTCCAGAGTCCTCTTCCTGGTGGAGTCACACGTGACATGCTTAATTCTCCCAGTAATGACTTGTGACAACACAAGTTGGACGTTGCCAACCAGGGAAGCTAGTTAGAGACCCGGTGCTCAGGGATTTTCCTGTGGGCTGGTTACATAGGCATCCTCTGGCTGGCATGTACCAAAATTCCAGACTCCCAGAAGGAAAGCACGTGTTTAGCATAAACCATATTGCTTGAATAAACAGGCACAATGAGCCACCCATATCAGTGCTGCAAATGGTGGGAACCCTTTTATTAATAAAATCCAAGTTCCCAGCCAAAGGCCAACCTTGTAAGCAGGCCTTTCAAAAGATAGCAGGCCTCCTGTGTTAGCTCTTTTCTGCACACAAGTATGAACAAAGCTGAGAACTAAGCACGGAACAGGCTGTGGCATGAGAATTGCAAAGGATATGTGAAAGGTGATCCAGTTGGAACAGACCAACGACAGCCTTTTTCTTGCCAGTATTTCCCAAACTTGGAAACTTGTACAACACTACAGCCAGGAGATGTTCCAGGAAAGCGTGATTCTGGTCAAATAAGTCTGGAAAGCGCAGCATGCCTGCTCTGCCCTCCCCTGAGAGGGTCTGTGCATTCGTGTATTAAAGATTGTGGGAGATTCTTAAGTAGATTTTGTTTAACCCAGTGTTACTCGTTTTTAATGGGAAGCCACCCCTTCTGCCTTTTAACACCCACATTTGGAAACACTGCTGTAGGTCATTGGTTGAGGATACCTGTCACTTTTCTGGGGGTGAGGAACAGACTTTGGCTAGCCAGTCGCTTGCGTAGGCCCGCCTGGGCTCATCATTCGCCACACTGTCTCCTTCATACAAGCCCTGGCCGGAGACCCTGGCCAGCACCGTGTAGAGACATGAACTCTGGCACACCGGTACCAGCTTACGTATGGAATGCTGGTTAATGGGTTTATCTCTGGTGTGTTGTTCATTAGTGTTGTGCTGAGTATTTACTAAGATAAGTAAAATGGTAATAGATGGAGCATTTTTGGTCACCTTTTTTCCTGCAAAACACTATACATTTGAGCCCAAGTTGTTTTGCTTTCTAAGTAGCCTTTTTCTGCCTGCATGTTTGTAAAACGTTTCTTATTTTTGCTAGGGTATGTATAGTTATGGGTCTCTATTGATTTTATATGCTGCATAAGGAGCCTCTTTGACTGGAAGTTGTGTTATTTTTAAATTATGCAACTGCCAGGGTGAGAGGCTGCTGCTGACAGTGAGATGATGTGTTTAGATTGATGCGGCAGGTGAGTGACGGTGACGCTGGCCTCCAGATTTCTTAGGTGGCCACAGTCAACTTTGGGGTTCTTGTTCTTTGAACCTTTGGGATTCTTTATCTCTGCCATAATTTTCTTAAAACTACAAGGATAAACTTGAGTTTATAATGGTGAGTAATTTATATACATTTAAAAAATACTTACCTTGATAAGACTCAGAGCAGTTCCCTTAATTTAATTATCTTCCTTTCTTCCTTTTTTTCTTTTCCCCTTTCTTTCCTCCCTCCTTCCTTCCCTCTTTTTCATTCATTTATACATCCATTCACATATTTATTGAGTGCCTGCTATGAGCAAAGTGTTTTTACACTTCTTGCAACGAAGCATAAGAAAAAAGAAGACATGAGCATGAGTCTTAAGGAGATTATGGTCTAATAGGCAACATAAAAGACGGCTCTAAATAACTGTTACAGTAGACTGTTAAGTGCCAAAAAAGAAATCGATAATTTATTCTGGAAGTTTAAAGCAGCAGTCGTTTGGCCTTAGGGCATCCCGGTGAGAAGGGCTGGTGTCCCATCTGTAGGTCACTCTTGTGGAGGGTGCAGTTGCCTCTCCCTAGGAGCATAATGGCTGCTGTATGTTGTGCGTTAGGAATAGAAGCTTTGAAGTCGGTAGGACTTCGATTTGTTTAAAGGGTCTGGTTTTTCCTTGGTTGTGTTAAGTAGATTTTTTTTCTCTAAGCCTCAGATTTTCTCATCTGCAAGTAAGCTGATAGTATCTACCCTCATTGGGTTACTGTGAAAATTAAATCTAATTGTGTGTAGCGTTTGGCACATAATGCATAGCAATGGAAGCTGTACTGACTGCTGCTGCTACTGCTGGTGATGTCGGTGCTGGTGTTGGGAGGTGCCTTCACTTGCTGCCGATGGCTGAACGTGGAAGGCCCAACTATGGTACATTGAGTTTATTTCACTTTGTCACATCTGGAGGGAACTCTTCAATTTTAATCTTATGAGGTCAATTTATATGTTGAGAATATACCATTATTAGGGAAACCAGGATAAATGATCCAGTCTATTAACATTCTGTTGGATGTTGAATCTAATATCTGTATCATAATGTGTCATATTTTGTGCAAGTATGTGTGCATGTGTTATGTATTAATATGTGTGTATTTGTGTGGTATCTTCCAGATCCGAAATATAAATTGCTGATGAGATACTTCTTCATTTCTAGGTCGGCGGAAGCAGAAGTGGGCTGTGGATCCAAGAAACACTGCATGGAGTAATGACGATTCCAAGTTTGGCCAGAGGATGCTAGAGAAGATGGGATGGTCTAAAGGAAAGGTATTTTGGGGATCAGCAAAAATAATCTGAGCCATGCAAACAGATTACAGATCAGGAGAAAACATCCTTCTTATGAGACTGGGAGAAGTTTATGTTTTGGATCAATAAGTAATTTTAATCCCAGATCAAAAATTTTCATGACCTTATAGTAATAAAATTAGAATTGGACATAAATGCCAACTCTTTTTATCATTTAAATGCCATGATTAGCATCTTTTGTAGACAGTACTTTTTAACTAGTTGCTCATGGAATTGTATTTACCCATCAGAGTTTTATATTTTATTTTCCTTTGTAACTAGACTACACATTTTTTTTCTTTTTCTCACATTCTATTTATTTTTGACTCCAGTAGGGCTTCTATTGGTATCTCTCCACTCAAATGGTTTTTGTCAAGATCTTTAGTGATCTTGTTGCTAAATCCAGTGGACCTACTGTTTGTTCTCACGTTACTTAACCTGGTAGCAGCATAGGGCATAAGTGACTGCTCTCGCCTTGAAATGCTTGCCTTGGCTTCCACAGTACTGCCCTCTCTCCTGTCCTTCCTTTTACCTCACCAGCCATTCCTAAAGTCGTTGCTGTCTTTCTTTCTCCTCCAGACATGTGATTGTTGCACCTCCATGGGGTTCAGCCCCAGTCCCATTGCTGTAGTTTGCTCAGGTGATTTCATTCATTCTCCTGCCATACTTTAACTTATTTAAAGTTGGGGAACTGCCATTTTTCTCTATCTAGTCCAGTTCTGTCCTCCGAGCTCCAAATTTGTAAATTCAGCAGCCTACTTGACATTTCCACTCAAGTAAGCATCTCAAAGGGATCATTTTTAGTATAAAACTCTTGATCCCTCAAATCTTTTCCTTCTCAAGTTTTCCCCATTTTTGCAAATAGCACCATCCACCCACCTGCTCAAGCCAGAAGCCCAGGAGTCATGCCTGCTCCTGCCCTGGTCCAGCCATAGTCATCCTCACTCTGATGCCCTCCTCAGCCTCTCAGCTGCTCCTCTGCCTCCCTTCTTTTTCTCCCCTGGCCCATTTGCCATATAATAGAGTGATCTTGTAAAATATGCAAATTAGATCAGGTCATTCCCTTGCTTGAATGACCAGTGGTTTCCCATGGTGTTCAAAATAAAATCTGAATTCCTACCATAACTTCCAAGGTCATTTGAGATCTATCCTCTTCCTGTCATCTTACTTCCTCTTCATTTCACGACTGAAGTTTTCCTGGGTACCCGAGGTTCTCCAGTACTCTAAGCTCTTTTCCACCTTAGGGTCTTTGCATTTGATCTCCCCCTTACCTGGAACATCTTACTAGTGAGTGTTAACTGAGACAAGGGACTTGGAGTCCCCCCTCCCTTCTTCCTCATTGTTTTGTAAAAGTATTTGATGGAGAGAGCCATGGACTCACAACACCTAGGACACCCACGATGGGCTTCTGTCATTGTTGTGGCAGTGCTCTGCTGCTGAGTGTCAGCAAGAGGCATGGTCCACCAGTGTTCACAGGGGCCTTTTATTGCTCTCAGCTGGAAGAACTGTCATTGAAGTACACCCTTGGTATTATGGACATATCTTGTAGGAATCCTTTAGACTGGGTCCCCTGAGGTGAGGATAGTGCCTCACTCTAGGTGTTTAGTAATTAGTTGAATGTTGGAAGGAAGAATGGTAATCTCTCTTTCTACGTGGTAAAAATGCTAACTCCCTTTGTGTTTAATCTCCACAGGGTTTAGGGGCTCAGGAGCAAGGAGCCACAGATCATATTAGAGTTCAAGTTAAAAATAACCACCTGGGACTTGGAGCGACGATCAATAATGAAGTGAGCAACACGGTGCCTGCTGGGGTTGTCCTTGCATGGCTGACTTCAGTTTTCTAAATATAAAAATTTTAGCCCAGTCAGGTTGATTGATCCATTTTTAACTCTTCAAGTATGTATTATCCATGTTTTGAATAAATAAAGAGCCCCTGGCTAAGCTGGTGCTTCAGGTGAAACATGTCGTCACCTTGCCTTATTGTCCTCATGGGTCCTTTGCTTGCTTATGCCTAAGAGATCCAAACTAGTGTATTGTTAAACTTTGCGAAAAGTTTTCTTTTTATAGAACTATGCATTCAGGACAGAAAGGAATTTTTAAAATCTTTACCTCTGTTCTGATATGTCATATTTATATCATGAAAAGTTGGTGGCATTTATTTTTAGAAATACTGCAAGAAAGTGGAGTTTTTTTCCTGTCCCTTTTTCTGCCTCTGACTGTCGTATACAGCAGTTGAATTTATTCACATTTCCTCTTGAACACTGACACTTTGAAAATGTGGCACTGTAATTAAAAATTAGTGGCCTGCCATGTTTTCCATTTTCAGTATCATTGTTCGCTTTAACAAGTGTCTAAGCTGAAAGTTTTGTTGCTAAATTTTTGCAGCCAACAGAATCTGGTAGAAAATCTAGAGAATTGCTTTAGGTAAATTGACTGATTTTGGTGAGCTCAGGAGCTCTGAGTAGTGGGTTGGAGCAGCTAAAATTTTCAGCCACTAAGGAAAGTGTTTCTATAAAGTTGATTTGCAGTGTAGTTGTTGAGAGATAGATAACACAGACATACTTATTTTCCTAGGAGAAGCATTGCCCAATAAACCTATTCAATATGCCTTTACCTTAGATATTCTTAACAAAGAAAGCTTAAGAATGTGTATGAGGCAAATTCATACATTGAAACCCTGCATGCCAGTGGTTTATGTTGTCTGGAGATCTTCATTCTCTTACACGCCAGATTCTCTTTGTTATGATGAACTTATTAGTTACCACCTTACAAATGGGGGCTTGTTGATTCGGGGACTTGAGGTCCTTCCTCCTCCCTTTCCCCAGAGTTTTGTAAAATTGGGTTCAGTGCAAGTAATTAGAATTGGGCAAGATATTTTAAGTGCTATGTAGCAAGGAAGAGAGCTTCTATGTCCTTAACTGCTCTTGTCCTTTGAACTACATAATTTTCCCTAATGAGAAAAAATAAGTAATTTTATTTTGCTTTGTTTTAATATTTCGCATACAGACATGTTGATGATTTGACTGTAAGTTGATTGTTGAAATCAGGGCTTAAGCTTCCGAGAAGCCCCTTTTTAATACTGATCTGGATAAAGAACATTTTGAGTTTCTATTTCTTGAATTCATTTAAGTATATAAAATAGTATTTGGATGAAACATTTAGAATTTCACATTAACTACCAGATTGCCTTGATGACACAATTTATCTTAGTCAGTGTAGGTAAACTACGGGCTTGCTGCTCATTCACCTTTTCGGTGTTTTCAGGACAACTGGATCGCACATCAGGATGGTTTTAACCAGCTCCTGGCTGAACTAAACACTTGCCATGCGCAGGAAACAGCAGGTAGGAAAACAGAGTTGTTTTCCCTCAGGTTTATAGAAGACATAAGCTCTCAATGTATAATATTTTGTCAACGTTTTTTGCTTTTATTATTTTTTTAATTGGCACATAATTATTATACATATTTATGGGGTACAGTGTGCTATTTCAGTATGTTCATACAATTTATAATGATCAAATTGGGGTAATTAGCATATCTGTTACCTCAGACATTTATCATATCTTTGTGTTGGGAACATTCAAAATCTACTCTTCTGGCTATTCAGAAATATACAATAAATGGCTGTTCATTATGGTCACCCCATGGTGCTATAGAACTGTGGTCCCCAACCCCCGGGCTGAAGACAGGTACCAGTCTGTGGCCTGTTAGGAACTGGGCTGCCCAGCATGAGGTGAGGCAGGAGGTGAGTGGCAGCGAAGAAGGGAGGGAAGCATCTGTTTTTACAGCCACTCCCCATCTCTTGCATCACCGCCTGAGCTCCACCTCCTTTCAGCTCAGCGGAGGCTTTAGGTTCTCAAAGGAGTGCAAACCCTCCTGTAAACCGTGCATGTGAGGGATCTAGCCTCCTTATGAGAATCTAATGTCTGATGATCTGAGGTGGAGCTGAGGCGGTGATGCTAGCACTGGGGAGCAGCTGCAAATACAGATTATCATTAGCAGAGAGGTTTGACTGCACCATAAATGTGATGTGCTGGAATCATCCCAAAACCATCACCCCTCCACCTTCCAGTCCATGGAAAAATTGTCGTCCATGAAACCAGTCCCTGGTGCCAAAAAGGTAGAGGACCGCTGCTGTAGAATACTAGAACTTACTCTTTCTCTCCAGATGTACTTTTGTATCCATTAGCTAGCCTTTGGCTATCCCCTTCCCCAACCCCTTCCCCACCTCTAATAACCACTGTCCTACCCTTTACTTTATGAGATCAACTCTTGGCTTCCACAGATGAGTGAGAGTGTGCAGTATTTATCTTTTTGTGCCTGGTTTATTTCACTTAACATAGTGTCCTCTGAGCTCATCCATGTCTTCAATGACAGAATTTCACTCTTTTTTTTTAAGGCTAAAAATAATGGTATTCCTTTCTGTGTATGCACCACATTTTCTGTATCCATTCATCTTTCGATGGACACTTGGATTGATTCCATATCTTGGCTACTGTGAATAGTGCTGCGATAAACATGGGAGAGCAGACATCTCTTGGTGATGTACTGATTTCCTTTCCTTTCCATGTATACGCAGTAGTGGGATTGTTGGATCATATGGTAGTTCTGTTTTTAGTTTTTTAAGGAACCTCCATACTGTTTTCCATAATGGTTGTACCAATTTACATTGCCACCAACAATGTATAAGAGTTACTCATTCTCTGCATCCTCACCCACATCTGTTATTTTTTTCAAATATTTTTGTGAACTCTTTATTGCAAGCATCATATATTTGAAAGTCAACTGATTAAAGCTGTTTCATTTCTGTTTACAGTTTAATGATGCTTTCATTGGATGAACCTTTAGCCGTAAACAAACACTTTTTATCCATTAAGAGTTTGATAATGGCAAGATAAGTCAATTCAGTTTATACCTTGAATAGGATACTCATCTTTCCAGGGATGCTTGAGTATGAGTGAAAGACGTTTTATTAAGCACAGCATGAGAAATAAATGGCCTTATCAATAAATGGTTTGGGGACAGTTAACTGTCCTTATAGAAAAAAGTCAAACTTGACCCCTACCCCATACCATACACAAAAGCAATTCCAGGTGGATTTATTAGCAAGAATATGATAAGCCTAACAATAAGGCTTTTAGAAGATAATGTAGAAGAATTAAGGAAAGATTTCTTAAACAAGACATATGTGCTCCTGTGTATTACCGTGTTTGTCTCAATAAATCTAAGAACTACATGGGTCCCTTTTTGGTAGACTTAAGTTAAAATATGACATGTATAATTATGTCATATTAAAGCTGTAATGAAGGTTAATTAAAGAGTAGCAAATACAGCAATTTGAATATCAGGCATCAGTTTCTACCTTAATGAATATCTCATTCCTCCTTATGGAGGAATATTCCAGTATAAGGCTGTGCCAGAGTTCGCTCAGCTATACATTCACACGTTGAAGGACTTGTGGGTTATTTTCATTATTTTACCATTATGAATACAACTGTGAACACTGATGTATAGGTTTTTGTGTGAACACAAATTTTCATTTCTCTTCCTCATTAATTAATTACTAATGAGGATTTCAGTAATTTCTGAAGGGTAGCCTGGCCTGATCCATAGTACACAGTTTAAAAAAAACTTCTAATCATTTGATCTGAGTTCAATTGTAAATGATGGGGTTCTAAAATTTTTATTTAAGACCATTTGCTGCAAGACAATAAGTGAGAATGGTTAGTTACATAGAGTTTAATATAATGCTTTTCATCTTTTTTTTTTTTATCTTTTTTTCAAGACTCCTTAGACAACAAGGAAAAGAAATCTTTTAGCCTTGAGGAAAAGTCCAAAATCTCCAAAAACCGTGTTCATTATATGAAATTCACAAAAGGTAAGATTAAGCACTTTTTTATTTGTTCTTAAAATCTATGTGTTTGTACTGAGTTTCTTGAAGCATTTTTAGCTCCTGGCCAGCAGTGATGTCTTGTCGTGTGGACAGCCTGCCTGGGCTGATGAAGCAGTGCGGAAGTCTCCGTTGATTGTGAGTCGCATTGACTGTGAGTCTTGTTAAAATGCAGATTCAGGTTCAGGAGATGTGAGATGGGCCCCGGATAGCTTTACAGGAAGTACAAGTCCGATGGCATAGCTGAAAATGGAAGTCAGCTTACTATTTAAAGGAAAAAAGGACTTTATGTAGCTAGGTTGGAAAATTATTTTAATTTGTTGCTTAACATTTTTAGCTACATTTTTCATTTCTTTAAGAGCTGAATGTTGGTGTTGAATAGTTCCTATTGTGCCAGTTGAGAGAGTGATGGTCTGTATTGAGAACTCCAGTATTAGAAACTGAACTCCCTAGCAGCCCCTTGTATTGTATTCCTCAGTTTCTGTTTCACGGAGTGTTACCGTAGGCGTTCCAGGGTCTTCGTCAGCTAGTGTTAGGAAGGGTGTTTGAGAGCTGTGTGGTCCATCCCATCTTCCTCCATCACTACCCGCCACGTGGTCATTTGTGAGCGCAGCTGTCCCCTTTAACCACTAGGTGGTGGTCTTGTACTGGTTGGAAACAGTTTAATTTGAACTTAGCAACTCCCCAGGTGCTTTCCCATCGAACAGTGTCATAGTTAAATGCATTTTCAGCCACAAAAGCCTACTTATTACACAATATACTTGAAGTATAATAAGTATGATGATGAGCATGTGGTGATACTTGGTCACCATTTGATGGTTCTTCTCTGGGAGGTGGGATGTGTGTTCCTACCTCCATAGGCCAGGAAAAGCCCGTCTCTTGCTTTAGTCTTGTTGCCATGATGGTGGAGTCCTTACCTCCTGGAGCCACCTGGATAGCAGTGGGAGCTGGAATTCCCACTGCTCTGAACTGTTGATGGTGTTTCTCATTTGGGGCCAGGACCCCAAAAGGCAAGACTGGATTTGGTTTAAGTGCGAGTGTGTGGGAGAGCTGCGCAGCCTGGGGACTGGCGCTGGGAGAGCCGGCCACGCCCCTTTCCCAGCAGGTGCGCCTCCTACCTTCTTCCCTGCCTCCCTCCTCCTCGTTATCTGCAGGGCTTCTGATGAGGGTTCCTCTTCATTCGCCCTTAGTCTGCTGCAGAAGAGAAAGAGGCTCTTTTGGCCCCTCAGTCTTTCGAGGAGGGGGTAAATGGTCATTTCATACCCAGTCCGTCAGATATCCCTTCTTTTTTCAGTACATCCTGTAGGAAAAAAACAGAGATACAGCAGATGAGTGTTGTCACAGAGCAAATTAATGAAATTAAAAGTGGCCTGCAACCTTTGGATGGTATAGCAGCCCTTTAAGCTTTTGCAAGTAGAATCTTCTGATTGTCCTTTAGTACCTGACTACATGCGCGATTTCATCTGGAGCATTTGCTGAAGCTGGGTTAAACCGCTTTAATCCACTGTAATCCGGTGGATGCCGGGAGTGTCTGCTTCCTATTTCTAGCTAAGCCACTCCCTCGCTGGGTGACCCTATCAGACTGCTTGGTGCGTTGTGCCTTTGTGTTCTCCGGTAAAGTGAGGCTTGTGTATTCGTTAGCCCTGCTTGGAGGGAAGGGGGAATGGGTGTGCAGGGAGGAAAGAGTTCAAGATGCACTGTCAGAAAGGCGGAAGAGGAGATGGAGTGGGGAACTAGAGGACGTGCAGACTGGGACTAAGTAGAGAAGAGGAGAGAAGGAAGCAAAAACCCCGGCAGTGAAGAAAACAATGGTTGAGCATCCAGCGTCACAGCCCACAGTGAAGGCTAATGTTACAGTCTGCTCTACGGTGGACCGTCTCAGATCACAGGAAACCTGGGTTCTGGCCCTTGCTCTCTCAACAAATCTCCTGACCAGTTCCCTTCTTTCAGACTCGGTTTCCTCTTTTGTAAAATGACGTAACATTTTTAAGTCACTATTAAGGTCTAATGTAGGTTCTGTGTTATGATTTTTCAGAAACGACCCATTGTATGGAACTTGTGCTTTTTCAACATTACAGATAATAGGATTTTAGCCAGTGAGTATGCTCATAATGAAAGTAATTCACTTAGTTGATGGGGATGATTCAATAACTCATCTACAGTCCAGGAAACTAAAACACAGGAAGATCGCATTTTATATAGCTTGGTGAAGAGTGAAGATAAAAATTTTACTTTTGTAAGATTACAGTAGCAAATAGTATTGTAAAATTTGTTACTATCTAAATGTTGGCTACAGCCTTTTAGTTGATACATAATTATTCCTTTCTCTAGCCCCAAATTTATAATTTTAATTTGAAATAATTTATTATATAATTTTGAAAGTCAGTTTTATCCATATTTGTTTAAAAGCCTAACTCCAACGTGGTTTCTTTTCAAAAAATGTCTGGTGAGGCTGTATCTGCAGAGGGGGAAATACCCATTTATACAAAACCATTTTTGAGGTTTTGTATCTATACAGTGAGATGTCCTCAAGAGAGCATCGCTTTTTTTCCCCGTCAGCTGTAATACGATGGGTGGATGAAAGTCGCATACACTGTAGTTGTACAGCTTCATCATAGGAGTTTTGCAGACTTATTCATGTAACAGTTTGTGATACTTTATGTGCTTCTTAAACAACTGCGTGCACAACACATGGTCCCGCCGTTGTCTTGCTGTGGGGAAATACAGAGCTGCCGTGTTTGTAGCATAGTTAACTCCTCCCCACGGTTGGACTCTGGCCCTGAGGGGCATTAAGTTTCCTCTTCTGGTTCTTCTGATGTTTAAATATTGAGCGGCACCATTTTAGTCTTTAAAAAAAATTAGACTAAATTGTTATTGGTCATTAGGGTCTCACTTACTTCCCCTGCTCCTCGGTTCTTTCTGATTTCCTGGTTTGCGGACATTACCTTTTAGTGGCGTTGCCTTTATCTTCTGCCCTAGGCTTAATATTGCTCCCATGTGTTTGAATTAAAAAAAAAAAAATCAAAGTATAATATCATTTTATTTATCTTCTTGATTGAAGAATACAAATGGAATTTTCTAAACAACTGAAGCTACCTACATAAAGCTGAAGTGTTTTGTATTTTAACAAACATATTTCTACAACCAACATTTCCTTGTCCTCGTTCCTTTACTCTGAGTAGATAAACACTACTTTTCCATAGATTTTTCTTTTTTTTGAGCCTGTTATAATACAGTGCTACCCTGCAGTTTTATCCTCAGAGCTTGTTGGGTTATCCCTTTTGCCTTTAAAGCAAGTGGCTCCAAATCACTGTGATTCTTAAGTTCTTGTGTCTATTTTTCATACTTTGATTTGTATGTGGCCTTCTTGTTTTGTAAACGTGCCTGACTATAGCAGTCGCGTTCCTCCCTTACGGTCAGCTACTCTGAGAGACTGGAAACCTGGTGGTTACAATCGTTAGACAGCAGCTAGAGCGGTCCCCAGTAAAGGGCTCTTCTGTCACAGGATCTGCTTGTCCTCGCGGGGACTTTGCCTCACTAGTTGGGGTACAGGAAGCCTTTCTTCCGGGTTTTGAGATGTTATGGCCAATTGGAGACTAACAGATAGATGAACCAAATCCAGATAGATAACGTGTAGTTCCTCTTCTATTCAGTTTTTATTATCATTTTCTCTAAGATCTAAGTTTATCAACAGTATATGCCGTGATTGGACCATAATTCAGAACTGAGACTAATAAGCTTTTAAAACTCATTTTAATATATATTTTATTCAAAAGTGGCTGTAGTTTTCTAATGTTTATAAACTATTCACCAGGACCATTAATTAATAGCTATCTCAAAATCGCTTTCATCTTCACATTTTTGTCCACTTTCAAGTTCCTTTCCATTTGTCTCTGACTCTCATTTCTCCTGTGTGTTCTTGTTTTCCAGATCAAATCCAGAGCAAAGCCTGTAACAGTCCTGGTTTCTACATTTGTTTAAGTGAACTTTGCTAAAGGATAAAAATTTCTGATACAAGAACCCATCACCAAAACTTTAGAAACATTTGCACCTTCACTGGTACAGCTTTCTGTCTCTACCAACCGGGCAGTTTTCCCTTTCATTTTTAGACTTGTTTTTAATCTCTGTGTGTTCATGTTTTGACATCCTGTTTTAGAATTGTGATCTCACATGCAACCTCCCTTCCGTAATCCCTGTAGCATTCTTTTTAGTTGAATTGCTGTAAGAGCAATCGTAATTTGCATTTCCTTTTAGGCTGTCTCTTCTATTCCAGAGGACAGGTTAGGGACAGATGGCCGGTGCACATTTTGAATCAAGTACAGCTCCCTTTTCTGAACCAGAACTGCCACCCTGAACGTGCTTTGCAGTGGGAGGTGGCTTGTGCCGAGGGCAGTGCTGCAGGTAGATCTCTGTACCTCCCGAGAGTCTGTCCACCTCTCCCCACCATGACCAATTTCTTCCCCACTTTTCTGGTTCATTTTCTGAGCTCCTGTCTGTAACATGCTTCGCTCTCTTCTTAAGTAGCTTTATATTGAGTCCTTTTGTGTAGGTTCTGTTTAATCATCAATTAGAAGCAGGCAGGTTTAGTGTCTGGCTCAAGTAGAAAGGAGTGAGCAGCTTGTAGAGCCACAGAGGAGCCTGCTGATGGGAGCAGGTCAGGCCGCCTGGACCACTTAGTCTGGTGCTGCTGCCTGTGAAACTGGTTTTGGCACCTGGTTTTGCATTAAATCGGAGATTGTTTTGTTTTTTTAATTTCACAGAGTCACTGAGCAATATCATATTTAAATGCCCCAGTGATAGTCAGTGAACTGGAACCTTCTGGGTCATGATGTTACTTTGCTAAGTCAGTTTACTGCAGGAAACCAAGAAGGCGAGTGAGTCTGTGGCAGTGGAACCCGGCTTCCGGCTCCAGACTCCTGTTCCCGGGTCTGACCCAGAGCCTCCCTCCCCCAGAGCCTCGGGACTTCACACGGAGCAGTTACATTTTA